ACTAACCAGAGTTTCCTCCTTCTGTCCAGACACTCTCTTTCATGAACTCATACAATTACCTTTAAGACATCCATTCCACTGTCAAATTTGGCTGTATTAATTAATGAGTTAAAAAACATCACAGGTGATGTCAAAAGACTGTGTACCAGGACAATAACACAACATAACAAAAACAAACAAACAAGAAGATTTAAGGTGGTATTTGGAGGTAGGATGATGCACAACCAAGAAGCACAGATCTGCAACACTATAAAAAGACAGCTTGGATATGTACTCAACAATTTCAGATTAAGAATCACAAGTGCAAATTATTTAGCTGCAAAATTCAAAGCAACTAACCAAAGGTAATATTAAACGGTAGAAAACTGAGCAAATATCAAGCTCCGTTTTATGGGTTATCTCTCTTTGGCTATACAAAGCAAGAAATTAGCAGTTTGAAATTCACCTGATTCATTTGACTTTAAGGCCTCTCTGATTTGCTGTTTAATTTTCATTGCTTCTTCAGCAGTCAAGTCCCCTTTTTTCAGTGTTACCACTTGAGGCTGCTCATCTTCGTTGTCACTGCCATTCTCACTATCACCATCTGCAAGTGGAAGCTGCTCTCTCTAGACAGGAAAGAAATAAAAGCAATTCTGATCACCACAGCAAATCACAACTGCTAAGGGTGGGCTAGTTCACTTTGGTTTCACTTTTGCAGCAAGGTTAGTGAGGAGACTTGTCACAGCTCCCAACACACGTTATCCAAATGACACTCCAGAGACATAAAGTCCCCTAGAAAAAAGCAGTACAGGCTCTTTCAGTTACAGACCAAAACAGTAGGAACTTGGAAGGTAATAAATTAATTCCTTTTGTTTGTTATCTTTACTGTACAAGCATTGTCTGCCGTGCAACACTAAAAGAATCTTAAATGTGTGGATCCAAATTTGAATCTGCTAAGCTGTACTCAAAACAGTGCAAAGGGAAGGGAAATCCATGGTCGCTTTGTTATTAAAGCTGCCTAACCAAATCACTGTAAGCATTATTGACACAAGGAAGACCATGTCCCTGTTCCCACTCTCTCAAACTTGTGCTCTGAGACAGAAGAATCATTTGGGACAAAATTTTAGAAAAATAAACTTTCTGGCATGGAAACATAAAGTTTGGCAGTATTAGAGGAACTGAAACTTCATCTTATAAGGAAAAGTATAGACAGTATTAGCATAATCTGTATAATTCACCAAGAGACAGACAAAATGCAATCTTCCTCAGGAAGTAAAACAGTTCGTACTAAATTTACTAAAGGCATACTTTTATCTCAAATTCCAGCTTGTCACAAATTTCTTTTTTTAACAAATTATTGTGAGTATTACTTTGCTGAGAAGTCTGGAGAAGTTAGGTGGTAATGGCCTCTTCAGCTTAAGACCTACAACATACTAGAATTGAACCTTAAAAGGCAATACAGACAAATGGAGCAAATGGTGAAAGTCAATACACTGATTGTTTGTAATAAAAGATGTTTTCACAAGTAACTTGTATATCCACAATGGCACAAGTATGATTCAAATCAAGACTATAACAATGAACCACTGGTAGTGGGCTTTCTTTGCTCCGTTAGTTTTCAGCTGCATACAGGTCAGGGTGGGATCATCCGAACACCTCTGCAAGTACAACTAGGTAACAACGTAACTGCATAAACAGCACTACCAGCTAATGTTAAACCATAGCTTAAATTTAAATTTCCTTGGCATGAAAATGAAACACTAACTTTGCATGTACTGTATTGCAATAATGACAGGCCTCTTTCTTAAGGCATCCTGTAAAACCTTAGTTAGCCACAAATACATGCAAGAGCACATGGGAAACACAAAAAAACAGCACCCTCAGAAAAGTTCACCTTTTAACAAGCTGGCTTAAACCTTACTGCCTCTGCCCTGCCTTCCTGGCCATCACACCAGAGTTTGTATATGCTGACCTATTTTAAGATCATGTTAAGTCCTTTCCAATATATTTTTTTACTATACTCTTAAAAGGCCGGTTAAGCTTAGGACGTCATTGCTGTTTCCCCCGTTGCGCCCACAGACCTGGGCACTGGCTGCTCTGCAAAGGGCACCACGGCTGCAATTATGAAGAACAGCCATGGGGAGGGGTACTGCAATTTGTTGCTCTGGATCTCCAACACAGAAGCAAAAACAAGTTACAAAGGCAGTTTCAGATAATTTTAAGTGGGTAACTACTGTTCCCTCTTGCCCTATAGGGACAAAGCCTTGAAGTGCTGCTTCCCCACCGCCTGCGACGCGGTCTCTCCCCCGCCTTCGTTTCAAACCCGAGGTGTGGGGGGGGGCTCATGGCACCGGGGGCCCCAAGAAGCGGGCGTTGCCCCTTCCGACCCCCAGGAGAGGCCGGTCGCGGCGGTGGGAAAGGAAGCAGGGCCCCGACACGAGCACACGGGCAGGGGGCCGGCGGCAGCCCGGAG